GTTTCCAAGGCTGTAAATCTTAATGGAAGTAGGCTGCCTCATCTTTCTCCTGCAGAGAGGCTGGTGGGTTGGAACCACTGACCTTTTTATTAGCAGCCAATTTCTTTAATTTTGCAATTTAGTAAATATTTATTAAATACCTACAATGTGCCATGCATTGGTCCTTATATTCATGGATTCACAGTCAAGGGCAAGAAGATAGATAAAAAAAAAAAAAAAAAAATTGTGACAAGTTCCAAAAGGGAAATGAATGGGTGATGAGATAAAGGGAGAACATATTTTAAATTGCGTGATCAGAGAAGGCCTAATTAAGAAGGGGATATTTATGCTGAGGTTGAAGGACCAAAAGGAGAAAGAGCCAAGAAAGAACATTCTAGGCAGAACAAGCAGCTTGGATCAAGTTCCTGAGTGGGAAAAGAACTTAATGCAACCAAGGAACTAAAAGAAGAGTGATGTTGCTGGAGCTCTGTGAGCAGGGGTTAGAGGAGCAAGGAAAAGGATGGGACAGTGGGTGAAGGACCATATTGATCATGGCCTTAGGGAAGAAGATTGGTTTTTGTTCTACATACAACTAGGAACCACTGAAGAATTTTAAAAGGGAGTGACATAATTTCAGTTTTAGAAGACTCATTCTGGTAGCTATGTGGGAAAATAGAAGCCCTCTTACCAATGTGGTTAAAATACTCAGCTACTAACTTAAGGTCTGTGGTTCAAACCCACCAGAAGCTCCACAGAAGATGTAGCAATCTGCTTTTGTAAAGATTTAGAGACTTGGACATCCCATAGGGCAGTTCTATTCTGTTCCTATAGGGTTGCTATGAGTTGGAATCAACTTGATGGCAGTGGGTTTTTTGTGGAAAAAGGATTAAAGAAGGACAAAAGTAGAGTAGAGAGTTCCTTTAAAAGCTAATGCATAAACTAATCAATGCTGTAAGTCATCAAAATAGTGGTTACCACAGAGGGTTAGTGACGAGGAAAGCTTCTAAAGGTACAAGAAATGTTCTTTTCTGGATGTTATTACATATTTATGTTTGTTTTGTGAATATTCAAGCTTACACTTATGTGAATCTTTATATACTGTACATATATTGAACTTCAGTAAAAATGAAGAAGAAAAAAGTGATTGCACAAACCTGTATTCCTCAAAAATGTCAACATCATAATAGATGAAAAATGGGAGGGCTTAAGAATTGTTCTGGATTAAATCAGACAAAAGAGACATGACAACTAAATTTGATGCATGATCCTACATCAGGAAAAAAAAATTACTGTTACATAAAGGATACCCACTGCCACTGAATTGATTCTATCTCATGGTGACCTCCATTGGGTTTCCAAGGCTGTAAATCTTTATGGAAGTAGATTGCCTTATCTTCCTCTCACAGAGGAGCTGGTGGATTTAAATTGCCAACATTTGGTTTGCAGCCAAATGCCTTGGCCACTACAACACTAGAGCTCCTTTATAGAAAGGATATTATTGGAATAATTGGCAAATTTTGAATATGGACTTTACAAAATAGTATTGCATTGAGATTAAATTTCCTGAATTTACAACTATACTATGATTATGTAAGAGGCAGTATTGTTCTTAGCAGATACATGACCAAGTATTTAGTGTTGTTTGCAATTTATTCTCAAATAGTTCTGCAAAATAATAGCATGTTTCTATGAGGAGAAAGATACAACAAATTTGGCAAAACATTTACACATGATGAATCTAAGTGAAGGATATTTGGACATTCGTTATATCATTTTTACAATGTTTCTGTAGGTTTGAAAATTTTAATAAAAAACTGGAGAAAAGCTATTACAATAACCTAGGCACAAGATGATAGGATTTGGACTAAACATGGCAGTAGAGATTGTTGTTGTTGTTGTTGTTGTTATGTGCCGTCGAGTCGGCCCCGACTCATAGCGACCCCTCCTTGGGTTTCCGAGGCAGTATCACTACGGAAGTAGGATTGCCCAACCTTCCTTCCGAGGAGTGGCTGGTGGGTTTGAACCGCCATCCTTCTGGTTAGCAGTCAAGTGACTTAGCCACTATGCTACCAGAGAGAAGAGTAAATAAATCCAGGATATATTTGGGAGGTAGAATGGAAAAGACTTGGTAATTGGTATGATGTGGTAGCTGAGGAAAAGGGAAGGAAACATAGATCACCCCTACTCTCATCTGGAGCCTGGCATCATCTGACAACTAGGTTAATGAGACACTATTTGGTAAAACTAGGAAGAGGGAGCAGATTTTTTGGGAAAATGTACTGGCACCTCAAACAGCTCCAAAATTGAACATACCGCCTTCATCCCAAATTCTCTTGCTTCTCTAGAGTCCCTCATCTCAAAGAATGTCACCACCATCCACCATATATAAGACAGCTGTATAAGCAGTAATCCTTAACATTACCCACTACACCACTTCTCCACTACACCACTTCTTCATACCCAGCCAGGCACCAAGCTCTGTTGATTCAACCTTCAAAAGGTCTTTGGAATAAACAATTCCATGTGTGCTCATGTTCACTGTCAGCCACACTCATAAACTAAGCTTCTACCATATCTTACTGTTGTTGTTGTTGTTGTTGTTACGTGCCATCGAGTCAGATCCCACTCATAGCAACCCCTCCTTGGGTTTCTGCAGCAGTAAGACTACAGAAGTCGATTGCCCAACGCTCCTTTCGAGGAGTGGCTGGTGGGTTTTAACCGCCAGCCTTCTGGTGAGCAGTCAAGTGCCTTAGGCACAACGCTACCACAGCTCCTCCATCTCTTACTAGGATCATAGTAACAGCTTCTTGGGAGCTCTGGTAGCATAGTGGCTAAGACACTTGCCTGCTAACCAGACGGCTGGCGGTTCAAACCCACCAGCCACTCCTCGGAAGGAAGGTCAGGCAAGCCTACTTCCGTAGTGATACTGCCTCGGAAACCCAAGGAGGGGTCGCTATGAGTCGGTCCGACTTGATGGCACATAACAACAACAGCTTCTTAACTGACCTTCCAGCTCACACCCTTGCTTTCACTCAGTCCATAGATTGAAAACATGGAAAGTAGTCTCTAGAATAGTAATTTGGTAATGTCTCTCCCCTTATTAAAAGCTTTTTGACTTCCCTTGGGGACCAGGAGTCCGCTCCGGGTCCATGAAGCCAAGGAGAACCTAGAAGAGGCTGCTTGTGCAGGTGAGAGATGACCCAAAGATATAGATAG